ATTACTCAATCCTACTTCTATTACATTATCCGAATAAACTGAATCTGCAAATCAGATTTATACTGCATGACAATTTGAAACCATAACACTTGAAATAATCTCTGATTTTGCAACTCTGCCCTCATATTTGGAGTAAGACCTTTTGAATGCACAGACAACCCCTGGGCTAAGAACATACATTTTAAAGATAAGCTCCAGTGTCCTCAAAATTCTTGATCCAAAGTTCCTTAAGACCAAATGACAAATTTCATTCAGAGCAATTATTTTAATATATGATTTGTCATTTGTCACTTTTCTTGAGAAGGCAGCCATCCTGCCTTCCCCCAAGTAATTGTCTTAACCTAAAGGAGGCCCCTATGGTTTAAATTAAAGTTATATTCATATTACTGCTTTACATCCACTCTTACTCAAGTTTTATATTATAGTGCTAAAAATATTTTTCTTATTTTTCTTCTAGGTTGCTTTTGATTTCAGTGACACTGCTCTCCATTTATTCAATAAATCTCTTGTTAGCATGTGCAAAGGAAACAGGTAACTTTACTTCCAACATATAGATAATGAATATGGTATATAAAAGCCTAAATATTCCACCCTATTTTGCTTTGCTTTATTAATTCTAAAAGAAATTAAATATGCTTTGTTAAACCAAGAAAAAAATAACCATTGTTTAGTTTTGCTTTATTAAATTAAAAAGTATATAATGCCATAGTTCAAACATGATCTTAATAAGATAATGAGGTTAAACAGTATATGAAAATGTATGCTTTAAAAGTGAAGTGAAAATAAAATAAAAAAACCTTGATCAAATTGTTGAAATTATTGTCATCTGGGAGCTAAAGTCCACAAGTCATAAAAGGGCCGTAGTTCCCCACCCCTGTTTTATAGGAAACAGGACATTCTAATATACAACCAGGCATACAAGTCAATGAGTAGTAAATTCAGTGCAATTTCCCTTTGTGTGTACTGAGCACTATCTTACAGCATCATGATAAAGGTGTGTGCAAAATGGCTTGATTTGTAAGGAGGGAAAGGAAGCATCTTGCTATAAGTCAAAGTCCTTTACAGTCCTTTACAGACCTGTTTAGTGGGACAGTGGAGCCACCATGACGGCAGCACTGAACTCCATGTTGAATACAATACAAAGATACAGTTCCCAAATTTTCTACTTAATACACCTCTGAATGATATGAACTGCTGCTTATTAGCAAAAAGAGTTCAGTATAATAATTAAAAGAATCACGTGCCAGCATAAACATTCTAAAGACCTGATCACTGCCTGAGTTACCTATTTGTCATCTTCTCAATGACATCTCTTTTTTTTCTTCAAAAAGTCAAAAATATGGTGGACTTAAAATATTCTGGACAAGCTCGATACCCATGCTTCGCTACTAAACTATGTGGTCGGGCTTAGTTTTTGGGGAGGAAAAGGGGGGGGGGGAATTCTGCCTCTGCCTACAAGCATCCATCTGGCTAGTGTACTGTCAGTGTGTGAGAGAGTTGAGGGTTGTTTGGAAACTGAAGCAGTATTTGCTGTGAGCAAGAAGGAGACAGCAAGGAGCCTGGGCATGGCTTAGCTCAACTGTTCTATACTAAAGCTGCTTGGTGCTGTGAAACTAAAAGTGAGACTGAAACTCCCCTCCTCTGCTTGTGTGTTTTGCATTTGGAACAGATTTCTTTTCAGGTGGGGAGGGAGTGTAAAACTCCTTAGCATCAGAGCGTGTTAATAATATATGAAATACTAATACTCTGTTGGTAATTTCAAAAAATTCTTTCTTAATGAGCACCTAGAAGCCAAGAGGGACGTATGTGCCAAATTTCATGGTTGTAGGCTTTACTGTTCTGGAGATTTTGTGATGATGCATGAGTGGTATTTCGCTTTTATATATATAGATAGAAGATAGATAAACCAACTTTGTGTGCTTTCTTTTTGCTGTTAACAATCTTGATCTTCTTATATTTCTTCCATTTACTTTTCAAAATCTGGAGGCTTAATCATCTCAAATAAAGTCCTAGAACTTGATTTCTTCTCACTTGTTTTATTATTTTTCACAGAACTCTTCAAAATGTTAAACAAGTCTCTTTTGTGAATCCAATGTAAGAAAGTAATCCAGGTCACTTGCTAAGACATTTCTATATCCACTGTAGCGTCCCCTTGCACATTATTTTAAATCAGATTCAGGACTATGAGGTAAAAATTGTTCCTCTTCCAAATACAGTGTATTTATAATGCCAAACACACTTAAAATTAACTTCTGATCCATTATTCATAAATATAATTCAATATGTCAATTAAAATATTTTGCTCCATTCTTTATTAGTAAATCAAATATATATATATATATATAGATTTAACCCACTGTTTGCTTTAATTTGATAGAATTTATATGTTCAGTTTATTACTTTACAAAACATATACAATTGAAAATCACATAATTGGTTATGCTGATAGAAAAACAAAAGGATATTTTAGTTGGAGATGCAGTGCTTCATCTAGTCAGAGTAATACCTTTTCAAGATCTTGGTGTTTATAGGGTACTGAAGTACTGTAATGGAAAAGAAGAAGGATGGCTGTTCTCTATTTCTATCATCATCCTCTGTGAATAAAAGAAAAGCCTACAATAGAAACATTTCCAATTCTTGTTGTGGATGGCATCAAAGATTATGACAAAAGGAATTATTATGATTTATCTTCATGTTGTTTGCAATTGATTAGGATTTTGGGATAGTTGCTAAAGTGTAGCTGTAACTCCAAGAAATTTCAATAGAGTGAAGGCCATTTAATTGATACTTCTATACCAATATTTTGGAATAGCACTTTAAAGTTAGTTCCAGAGTTTGCGTTTATTTATTCTTGACTCTGCTCCAGTTGGTTGGAAGCCACAGAATCATTGTGGATCTACAGATCTTAAGAGCTGTCTTTTGTCATTAGCAGAAATGTTTGTCTCACCTTGGCTCCCTCTCCCTATGTTGAGACCAATAATCTCTTCTCTTCTCTCTCCCCTTCCTCGCCCTCACCCACTCCTTTGGTTCACTAATGTATTCTCTTCCCCTCCATCAATCCAGAAACTGTAACTGGGCAATTACTGTCTTCATCCAACCTTCTGAATTGTTGAATATTAATAAAATTACAGTCTTATTGAAATAACCCAATTATTTGTGATGATGAAATGGTAACACTTTGCAAGTATGCACTTTCCCACAATCATGGTCATAGCTTTTGGAGAAAGTGCCTGCTTGCAAAGTGTTGCCATTTCACAACTTATTGGGATATTCAAATGCAGCCAAGCAATGCCAATGTGATTTATATTTTTTACATTTGAATTTTCCTCGTGTAGTTTCACATCACTAGAACCTCACAATATTTTTTGTAAACCACCATCACAAATATTTGTTGAATGAAAATTGTGGTTGATACTTGTGCACTTTATTTTATTTTAATTTTGCTTAAGGGTAAAATAGCTTTTGATATTTCATGATCAAAGAGTTGGACAAAGACAGAAATTTAACAACATTATCTTCACTCTTCTGCCGCTGAACCAGAAGGAGAGACAGCAGCAATATTGGTTCACAAGTGTCCTCTATGTTTCAAGGTTATCAGAAGTGAAGACAATAGCTTCAGAATTTTTCTTTGCAAAGAACTGGAGAGAACAAATGCTATGATATAGAAGTGCTTTCTGCTTCTTATGCTTTATATCTCATTTGTCAGCTAAAAGATAAAAATAGCATATGATATACATAGGTATGCAACAAATATACAATATATGATTAGAGATACTATTCCTTGTTGTGATTAATTGCCAACTCTTCACTTTGGTTTAACTAGGCTGCATGGTTTATGAAAAACTCGGAGAACAAGTTTTTGGCACTCCAGGAAAGATTATTGTTTTTGGATCTACATCTCTTCAGAACACTGGAGGTAAATAAAGTCTAAAGAAGCAGGAAAAAATAAATAATTCGTTCAGTAGGTCTACTTAAGCATTTAATACTGGGAAGCTGCATTAGCTCTTTGAATCATTTGCAGAACTGCAGAAGGAGCCAATGAACCATAGCTATTTACATATGTACCCATTTACCATCATCCACATGTATACCATTCCTTTTCTTGCATATACACATAAAAATGCAGTGGGAAAGTCCACAGGGAGAAAAGGATTTTTTTTAACTTAAAGCAAACTACTTTTGGAGCAGAAACATTTGCAGGCATAAGTTGCTTTACCTATTGATTAACAGCTGGTTTTAAAACAACTGGTGAAACAATGACATTAAATTGTACTTTGAAATGGTTTTAATACTATATCTTTTTCTGCAGGTAATTAACTGTGAATGTATTATGAGAATTATACTAAAACAAAAGTATTTGTTTTCATTTGATTTTTCCCTTTCTACCATTTGATTTCATTTCATTATTTATTTTATTTTATTTGTGCAAGTTCTACACATGTAAGGAAAAAGCACATAACCCATTTCGCTTACTACCCATGTTATTAGCTGAATTTTGCCAAATATTCTTTTGACTTGCTTTGAAAATTATACAGAAATGTATAACTGTATGCTTAAGGCACAATTTCTTGTTTTCTTTTTACCATGCTTTCCTACAGCTATATTGAGTTACCTCTTTATAGTTAAAAATGAGTTGCCTGCTGCCATAAAGTTCCTTATGGGAAAAGATAACACATTTGTGTAAGTTGAATTTATGTTTTTTTCTATTTTGGTGGTTGGATGAAGGATTTATATAAAGTGGTCGATGCCAGGTGGAAATACAGGTAGTCCTCGACTTATGAATAGAATGGAGCCTGCCCATTCCATTCGTAACTGAGGATCCGTAGGAGTGAACTATGTAACTTGAATGCGATTACTCCATGCTTTCATGCATGCATTCGCTAATTTAGTGTGCATCTTGTTAAATGCACATGAGGTATCTCAGGGTGGGGAAGACCATGGGGGGGTCCTAGTGGTGGAACAGACCACCTGCTTCAGACCACCCAAGACTTCCCCTGACCCACTGAGATACCTCATTCTCCCTCCCCTGGGGTCCCCACAATTGTTCCTCCCCATCCTGCTGTGCCAGGTCACTTACCTTATTGTTGTGGTTCGCCAGCAGCCGGTGCAGACAGCAGAGGTATCGGACAGTGAGGACGAAAGGGAACCAGTCAGGGAATTTGGTGAGAACTTGGACGAGGGTCTTGCATCTGATGCAGGGATGGGGCCAGGACCATCTGAGAGTGGGCTGCTACCTTCGGAGCTTTTGGAGTCTGGCAGCAGCGAATGAGAGGACCTAGGGGAGCCTGTTCCCAGTGCGCATGTGCACAGAGCTGTTAGAAGGCGAGAGCAGCTGAAGCAGAAGGGGCCACTCGGGAGTAAGGTTGGGAGGTGATTGTCTCTCCCATAAGGGATAAAAGTCAATCCTCAATGATGAAGAGCTTTGCAGGAAGCAGAGCAGTTCAGTAATCTCCGAGTCCTTCGTGAAGCTCTGTACTCTGGTCGGTTTTTTCTAGGTTTTTGGGTTAGTTTATGTGGGCCTTAATTGGACTTCTGTTTCTTGGCAGCATTTGACAGCACTGAAAAGTGTGCTCTTATCTGGAGGAACTGTGTCTAATGAGTTTTGGCTGGGAATGCAAGTAATTCCCAGTGTGACATTAAAAAAGGTTTTATTTTTAAATTCAGTTTGTGTTTTACTAAGTTTGATGAAGCCTGGGTTAGAACACTTATGAAGATCTGTCTCCTCTCCAACCTCTCTGTTTGTTGGCCTGCTCCCTCCTTTCTCATTTGTAAAGTACTTAATGAAGCATTCAGCAATGAAAAATGAGGCTCGGGGGGCCATGTGTACCCCTCTCGTCCTCTCTTGCCACCAAACCACTTGATGAAGCCTTTGGCGACGAAAAACAAGATGCAGAGGGCTGCACACACCTTTCCGGGCCTCCCTTCTCACCATCGAAATGCTTGATGAAGCTTTCAGCAACAAAAAACAAGGCGTAGAGGGCCACACGTGCCCTTCCAGGCCTCCTTTCTTGCTGCTGAACTGTTTGAGGATTGTGCCCTCATAGGCTTTGGCAGCCCTTTGCAAAAAGCCTTTGTCAGTAGGAACAGAGCTTCGGAGGGATATGCCCATCCCTCCAAATCTCCGCTACTGCCAACAAAGGCTTTTTGCAAAGGGTTGCTGAAGCCCATAGGGACACAATCTCCCTGCAGGCTTCGATAATGAAACAGCAAACAGAGGGAAGGCCTGAGGGACCGAAGCCTTCCCTCAGTTTGCAAACATCCAAACCTCAATTCACAGAGAACAGAGGCCTAAAGTGTGAGGTCACACGAGATCAGTAGCACAAGATCTCGTGCTACTGATCTCGTATGATCTCATAGAATATTAGGCCTCTGTTTTCTACAAATGCACCGAAAGCCTGAAGCAACAAAGCAGGCAAAGAAACTGTGACAGAGAGGAGAACTTCGCAAGGTAGATAGTTGAGTCTCCACAGGTGGCATGCCTGTGAAAACCTGGTCCTGGGGGCGGGGGAAGGCAGGTGAATGTTGCAGAGCCTCTACGGTCATTTGTAAGGGTGAACAACTACCGTAGTGCTGCAACATTCATAATTTCAGGATTTTCATAAACACTAGGGAGTGCTTATCACGTAACTTTGAACGTTCGCAACTTGGGGATTAACTGTACATGGTGCTATTTTCCTACTTTTTAATGGAATTATTTAAAAAGAAGTGAAAAAGTTATCATTTTCATCTTTCCCAATATGGAATCTCTGGAATTGGTTGAAACCATAACTTCTCAGAATTCCCAGCATATTTGTAATTCCTGGAAGATATGGTTCCAAGATATCCAGAAGGCCAATCCAGAAGAAAGTGTGGAAAAAATGTCCACTGTGAACAAAACCCAAAGATTTTGGAGTTAAATTCAATGACATGGACAATTACGGTAATCATTAGGTTCTTGGCCAGAACATTCAGAGATAATCGAGGCACTTTATGAGCATTATAACCAGAGAAACTACAAGTTTCATTGCAGGTAATTATTTGGAATGATCTGGCTGAAGCAAGCCGACGGTGATTCTAGAGACCAGAGTGGATTGGGATACTTTCTGTCTCTGATACTTCCAGTCTTCTCTTTCAAGATCCCTTTTCTCCCTATCTCAAATAGTAACCTGAAGTAGAAAAACTAGATAGCTTATAGATACAAATTGAAATCTTACACATGGGGATTGGGATGAGGATTAAAATTATTCCAAGTTTTGCTGATTTCCATCCCTGGTTTTAAATTTAGCTACTTTTAAACAAATGGGAGTTCAGAGTAAAAGTTACCTTCTGTTTTCAAAAATGTTTTATAGAGCCTGGTATGTGGATGAGCGAGTTCTGGTCGTAGCTGTCACCTTTTTAATAATTCTTCCTCTATGCCTTCTGAAAAATTTGGGTAAGGATAAATTACTTTTTTTAGACTAAAAGGTTGTTGAAACTTAATTTTCAACATGTGTACAGGATGAATATATTTGGTTGTTTAAGACACTAAATAATGTCTTTATTTCATTTTTCTATTTCTGAGATTGGTTATGTCCAAAAAAAGTTCTGCGCTTCTTGAGAACAGTAAATAATATAGCTTGCTTCAAATAAACAGTGGTATTAAGATATATTAATATTAAAAAACTGTATAAATCTTAGTTTAGCAAACATCTTAGAATATTTGTAAAGTCAAGATATTCTTAGATTCCTTACCCAGAACACAGTTGTTTCAAATCTTACTTTTACCAAGGCTCTGCTTCTTGCTTATTAAGATTACAAAGCCCCCTGTATTTACCTCTTTAGAGCTTAATCATGTATATAATGAGATGTCCTGACAAGTTTTTTTCATAAAAATTCATCCAGAGAATCTAAAAGTGCACTTTACCTTTTTATTATTTACAACATGGGAATACATTGGGTAATGTGGGGTGGAATTTTGGAAAGGACTAAAACTAGAAGAAAAAAGTAATTAAATTAGATGCAGTTTATATAATTATTACCCAATTATATAATAATTGCCCCTTCTTGTCACAATGAACATTACAATTCAGCAGCAAAGATTTGCAAGACACTGAAGTCCTTGCATTATAATCTAATGTTTTCTTTTTCTTCTAAAAATTATCAGCCTTTATTGCTGTTTAGAATATAAAGCAATATTTTTGCAGTTGAGAACTTTTACAGTCCCATGTGAAGCATGCTTCTTAATTCTGATAGTTTTCTTCATTCAAAACTTAGAATTTCTGCTTGAAAATTGCAGGTTACTTTCAAGACATGGGCAAGAATGATATTAATAATGGATTAGCTTATTGCCAGTGAAGTTTTTAAACCATTTGAGTTATTGCAAGAGAAAATTGGATTACTGGAAATTATGAAATGGCAGTTTCATTTCTTGATTTTACAATTTGGTCAAAATGTATTACTCTTGTTATAAATTACTGAATTTCTGGCAGGGGAAATTGTTTTCAAATATACTAGATTTAGATGTTTTTTCAAGAATATTGCTAAAATATTAGTTATTTCCAGGAACTTAGAGATGAAAAGTTAAATATCCTATATTAACAAATAACTAGCTAAGAATCCAGGGGTAGGATTCAAATTATTTAACAACTGGTTCTGTGGGCATGGCTAGGTGGACATGACCATGTGACTGGGTGGGCATGGCTTTTTTTAAAAAAAATTTATTACAGCACCCCCCACTCCATTTTTTGGGCTTTCTGGGCCTCAGAGAAGCCTCCTGGGGTGGGGCATTTTTGCTCCTAGAAGGCTTTCCTGGGTCCCTGGAAGGGAAAAAACGTAGCCTGGAGGGGCCATGCAGAACCCCCCAGGCTCCGTTTGGGGGCCTTCTGGGCCTCAGGGAAGCCTCCTTGGTGGGCGTTTTTGCTCCAAGAAGGCTTCCCTGGGGCCCAGGAAGGAAAAAAAGAGAGCCTGGAGGGGGCGCACAGCACTCCCCCACTCTCCCATTTTGGGGCCTTCTGGGCCTCAGGGAAGCCTCCTGGGGGGGGGGGCATTTTTGCTCCCAGGATTTGTACATTTACTTTTTGAGGCTTCCATCTCAACCAGGTGTCTATCTGCAGCTTTCAGGTCTAAAACAATAAAACATTTAAAACCAATTAAAATCAGTAAAAAAGTAAATACCATATATACTCGAGTATAAGTCGACCCGAATATAAGCCGAGGCACCTAATTCTACACAAAAAAAACTGGGAAAACTTATTGACTCGAGTATAAGCCGAGGGTGGGAAATGCAGCAGCTACTGGTAAATTTCAAAAATAAAAATAATTAATTTGGGAAACGATCTCACTATCATGAAAGGTTTAATTGATTCACTAACCCAAAAGAAGAAAATGATGATGACAGTGGGAGGCAGGAGTCACTCTCTTCCCCTCCCTCGGAGGCCCCCTGAGTCAGGAGTCACTACCGCCGGCGCGGCCCCAGTCCCGCGTCGCCTCGGGAAGGGAAAGGCAAAAAGGAAGAGCCGCGGCAGCGCTTTGCAACAGCGGCAGCGGCACCGAAGGCTCAGGCTCAGCGGCTCCTGGTTTTGCCCCACCCTTCCCAAGGCAATGTGGGACCGGAGCCGCACTGGCGGCAGCAACTCCCTACAGCCCCAGCCGGACACCTGAGCGGAGATGTAGGGAGAAGGCAAAAGCGACGGAAGATCCTTCAGGGGAAACTGAGGGGGAGACTCACCCTTGGTCCAGATGAGCCCCCTTCCCCATCCCTAAGGAAGCAGAGGCAGCCAGCAAGGGCAGGCAAGCCCCGCTTCACAGACTCCGTCCGTCCTCACTCCCACCCACCCACCCACCCAAAGCCACAAAGTCCCCCAATCGCGCAGCCCAGAATCGCCCTCCCCTCAGGGGGCA